ATGAAAAGCTTACAGAAGAAGGAAAGTCACCTAAACCTGATGAGCATCTTGAACAATTATTAAAAAACATTGATGAAAAAGAGAAGGTGTTGAAGAATGAACAAAAATCTGGAAAGGTCAATCCAAGAAAAGGACAAACAAGTGAAAAACTCCAGATCCAAATAGAAAATTTGACAGAATGTATTAAAACCACCAAGTTATCAAAACAAGATAAAAAGGACAACAAGACAATTGTGTTAGGCACATCAAAAGTCCATTACCTAGACCCACGGATCTCTGTTGCGTGGTGCAAAAAATATGATGTGCCAATTGCTAATATTTTCAACAAGACCCTCCGTGAAAAGTTCCAGTGGGCGTTGGATGTAGATGCAAATTGGGTGAGTATTTTTTTTTTTTTTGATTAATTTTATTAAATAATAATATATTTAAAATTATTTTTATATATTTTATATATAGGAATTTTAATTGTTGTGCAGTTGTGCAGTTATTTTTTGTTTGGCCATTTTTTGCTTTTGCTATTTTAAACTTGTGAATTTGTATGTTGTGCTTGGTATTAAATCTCTGCCTGGTGGATGGTTATATTTTTTGTGCTGATAGAAATTTTTTTATAATTTAGATCTGATGATAGTAAGGATTCTATTATCATCATCATTAGCTATATTATTATTATTATTAATTTAGATTATAAATATGAAAGCTACAATTTATATATATACTCCCTCTATCAATTTCATTTTATTATAAAATAATGATAATTTTATATTATAATTAATAAAAATAGAGACAAGAAATTTCAGAGAACTAAATTTTAGTGATACAAAATAAACCTGTAATCAATCCAAAGATATAAATTCATGCTAAGCTTAAAATCTTATTTTCACTTTGGCATTGACTTGGTTATACTGGTTTTATTATTATTTAATTTCAATCTGGCTGATACTTTTCTAGTTTTTTATATAAAATATCTGTTATAGTATGATCAATAAAATATTTAAATTAATCATCATATTCTAATTTTTTCCTTTTTTAAATATATATATGTGTACCACTAATTAATTCTATCTAATTGAATAGTAAAACTAAAGCTAATATACATATATATAAGAATGGTCGATGTTTTTTATGCAAGATATTTCCTTATTTGTATTTCTTTGGTGAAAATTGACAGTGTTTTTTTATAACACAGACTTTCCATTCAAACTTAACTTAACGTTAAAAAAAAAAAAATAATGATAAATGATAATAAAAATAAAAATAATTGATTGGAACGTAACACCCGCACTGAATTTTCAACACTGATTTGTAGTGTTTATGGTTATTTACTTACAAATTTTCTGACAACTGAGTATTCAAAAAGTTGTCATATTACAGAATGACCAAACTATTTACAGACAGCATCAATAGTGCATATATTGGTTATATTATTCATTTATTCGAATTTGCTAGTTAAAAAATTTCATGTGATTAAATTGACAAGCAAACCGGTCAAAGAATATTTCTAGTATTTTCCGCAAGGATTAATAAATCTTGTGGAAATATTTATTTTTATTATTATTCAACGATTAATTGCCAATTGTCTGATTATCCAATCGTCAAATATTTTCTACCATCGATATTAATTAAAATATAATGAGAGATATGTATTTGATTAATTAGGTTAGTTTATTCATTTACTATATATATATATAACCTTGCATTCGGTGTTGAAAATTCGGTGCGGGGAATGCGGGGTGTAACATTACACACCAATCAACTTTTTAATTTTTGGAGATAGTTTCTAAATTTGTACTGGTTACACAACGAAATTTCAACACTGCTTCAGTGAGATCAATTTAAGATCTAGCGTGTACATAGTTCGTGTAACATCTACGATTAAAAAATCAATCGCAAATGTTTAATTCCCTCTTTTAGTAAACTATCAATATACTCTTGCTTTGCATACTCATCCTCTAACCTTTTTCATTATTTTCCTACCAATCAATTCAATTAATTCAAAGTCAAAAAAAAATTTTTTTTTTATATAAATAAGTAGAAAAAACCATGGTTTTTTTTAATCAATCCATTCAACTTTCCTCTCCCTCTTCTCTTCTTTTTAATAAAAAATATATTCACAAGTAATTATTTTATACCAAAAAATATGTAAGATTTTATTTTTAAATGTAATTAATTATATATTTACGCATATATTAAACAATATTAACAATATATTTATTAGTTCATGATGAATGTTGACGAGGCAAAAGAATTACAAGAAGTTGTTAAACTCTTGACAGAAAAGCCTATAATAGATCATTCAAAAGTGAAAGATATTTATGAGGTAAATATTTTCACCTGAATTTGAAGTTGCTTACAGATATATAAAAATTTATATATATCAATGTTTAGATTGCAAAAAAATTAAGAACGGGACTTCAATTTGCTCACTTTAAAGTAAAGTGGGGTTTACAAAATTGTGATATATCAACATGCGAAAGAATGGTAGAACAGAAATTAGAAGATTATAAAAAATATCCAAATAAGAAAAGAATACATCTTCCATGCTATGTTTCTCCTGTACCTCCATCAAAAAATAAATTTCCCGATGAAAAGGCTAAAGCCGTCTTCAAAATACTTGATTCACTAGTAAATCGACCTGGATCATCATCATCATCTAAAATTAATGATTCAACTGATAACATTAACAACAATAATAGCAATGGTAACAATAACAAAAACATTAATACTAATAGACAACACTTGAATCATAATGATGAAATCTCTTCTTCGATAGGTAATCAGTCTATTAACTTTATTATCTTATTTATTTATTTTTTCGATATTAACAATAATTTTTTTTTCTTATCATCATCGCATCAAGAATCAACTTCACTATCATCTTTTGATATATCTTTTGAACAAGATTTACATTCATGTTTCCCAATAGAGGTGAATCCTAATTCCATAGAGCTCTATTTAAATTCAATAGAAAGAAATTATGAGGATTATGGATCAGATAGATTTAACAACAATATTAATAACTATATGATTAACGATAGCCATCACTATCAACATCAACGTCGCCACCATCACCATCACCATCGCCATAATAATAATAATAATAATAATAATAATAATAATAATAATAATAATAATAATCATTATCACTCATGGGCCTTAATGAACTTTGGATCGCCAACGGTAGCAAACTCTTCTTTATCATTATCACGTAGAAGAAAAGTAGATTGGGAGGAAGATTTAAATCCTACCACTAAATACCAAAAGATTCACAAAACAACTTTTGGTTTGTGGAAAGAAAATACTGATGCTTCTTCTTCATCATCATCTTCATCGTCATCAAAGGATTTGATTGAGTGTCCGGGAACTCCACCAAACCAAATTAGATCAATTAATGACGTGAAAACTGCATTTTCATTAAGTGAATATTTGAATATGTCTCCTATGCAGCAGTAATATACATATTTTTAAAAAAAATTTTTTACAAACATTTATTCATTTTTCTTACAATAAAATTTTTTTCAAATGTATAAAACCGAGAAATAAATGATCAAATAATATCTATCTACTGTATGTAAATGTACTTTTTATTTATTATTGAATATTATCCAAGATTTAAAGTTCTTTTATAAAATAATAATTATATATCTTCATTATTATCATTATCTCTGAAAAGAAAAATATTTATCTTTATCCCCAAAACAAGTCGTTGTTTATGATGAGGAATCGTTTTCATCATCATCTTTTTCTTCTTCTTGAGCATAATTATCTATTCAATAAACACGGGATAATACTATAATAGTAAATACCTCCACCACCCAAAATTTGTTCTAATGACATAGGACGCGAATTATGATTTGTCGTAACATTCAACTAAACAAGTGATTAAATAGAAATTAGCTAATTTATATAATATTTTTATCTTGATTCAATGATAATCCAACACTGATTCCCTGGTATCTGGACCATTTTTAATATTTTCATTTCCTTCATTATCAGATAAATCATTATAACCATGTTTTGTACCATTGCCACCATTATCGTCATCATCTTCTTGTACTACTTCTAAATAATCCTCCATCCATTAATTATCATTATCTTCATTCACTTCCATATCACCAACATCAGCATTGTACTTTCTTCAATCATTCCATCATCTCCAGATGATTGTTACATGATGAAATCCAAATTTTTGCAGTTCACTAGACGTTTTAAAATTATCAATTAAACACGATAACTAGATCCCATCATTTTCTAATAACCATAATAAATTTTTTTCAATTAGCAGTTGCCAATATTAATATTAAATAATAGTTATAAACATTTTTTAATGGCATTTAAATCATCAAAAGTATTATTATGGCTTGTATGTCCTGTTAATTTATTGGGTGCTCTACCTAAATTTAAGCATAGGCACACACATTGATTGTCTAAAAGAATTGCTAATAAAGCATTAAGGCTAACCCCTTTTTGTTCCTTTTGTTCATTTCAATTCTCGGCAAATTTTATGGTTGAAATCTTTTTCTCAACGCAAATTTCTATACCGACCAATTCTATTTCTCTATTTGCCATGCAATTTACAAGATCTTTGCATGTTTTCATCAAAAATTCTTTTTAAGTTGCGTGATTTTGGAGTCAACGCTTTACTTAAATAAATACTCGATACGGAATGACATTTTTGATTCAATGTAATAATATGTATGTCACAGGCGCAAAAAAAAATGAGTCGAAATATTTTAGAAGAGTTGTTATTCAAGTATTATTTCAAAGCTTAATTGGTGAAATAAATATCTCTATTACAGATTTATTAAATTCGCTTTGAATCCAGACTATAGAAATTCAAAATTCCAAATCCAGAAAAACAAAAGTAAAAGGACTTGCTGACTTCTTTTATATAAATTAATTGTCGCAATCTCAGGCTCCAGTAGTTTCAGACTCCGATTAGTTTCTAGATTCAATTTGTTTCAAGCTTTATATTTATTTCTAAAAAGTAAAAACATTAACAATCGCGTCACGTGTCCACCTCGTCAACAAAAGAATTAAATTATTTGTATCTCTATATATTTCGTTTGTGCTTGCTGTATTTAATACAATAATAAATATGATCGTTTGAAAAATGGCTCTTTTGTATACCTATACTAATTTAGAAGGCACAGTATATTTTAAAAAAGCTTTTACCTTAGGAGCTACAACTTTTAGGCCACAGTATGGCTCTACAAAATAAAATTGCCAACGCTCATCATCAACTAGAGCTTACCAGCTGAACCAAACTAAACTCGAACCAGTAATTTTGAGATAGAATAGTTCAAATCATACAAGCCATCGAATATTTGAACCAATGATTTTGTTCGAACCATCGGACTACTAAATATTCAAACCAACATTTTCAGATTTTCTTGGTTTATTGATTTAGGACAACCAATTCGATTTTTTGTGGAAGAACTTTTCAATAAAATTATTTTCTAATAGTATGAAACAAAATTCTAGATACCGTACATTGTAGCTTGGTGTGTTATAAAGACTGATTACTTTCGGTTAAAGCTAAAATTTTAGCCTAAAAATTTTCGAGTTTGTTCGTAAAGTTAATGATGCATCGCACTTATTGACGATGGGTTGTTTAGAAGGCACCGACCGATTTGTTTAATTATGACCGGTATATTTCTTTATAGTAAAAACAGAAGAATAAATATATAGATACTTAAGAAAATCGTTAAAATTTTGCAGGTCGTGATCCTCTTTTCTCTTCATCCGTTATGTTCCGCATACCCTTGATTGTTTTAGAAAATTCATGGTTAATTTTATTTGGAAGACAAGTTTAAAAATAACCTTTATTACACAACAGAACAAGATAAACAAAACAAGTTCGGTGGTTTTGCAATGTTGCAGAAGCCTTGTTCTAATAAAATCTTGAGAATATAATAATTTGTTTCAAATATTCCTTCTAATGCTTAAAATGGAGTTGGAAAAATAGAATTTAAACAAAGGCTGGTATTAAACCATTTGAAATAACCATTTAATTGTTAAAGTCATTTGATATTCCAATGATAAAAACTTGCAAATTGAAATTAAAAAAAAACTACACCTGATTTATGAATAAAGTAATATAAGTTAGCGAGTAACAACAAAGTAGGATCGAATGTGCAAGTTTTCTGTTGTCATTAAGATATGAATTCTTGTAAGTAATACAAAAAAGGTCAAAGGTGCGGATTTCCTGTTGGTGTTAAAAGGTCGAAGGCGCGAGTGAATTTCTAAAAATGTTTGAGGGCGCAAAGTTTCTACCTTTTTGTTCTGAATTCTATGCGTTGTGCACAGAAATGACAATAAATTTATCCAAAACGCCCACTCCAAAAAATTCACGCGATTTATTTGATAGTAATAAGTTGCAGTCTAGATAGAGCCTTGAAAACTTTTGTGATTATATATTACATTATATTAGTGATATCAGCTGGTTAAGGAATTTTTAACATTACTTAGAATGACTAAAAGAAAAAAATCTACTATTCATTTGTCCCCCTTCCCAAAAACCACAATACTCGTAGCAGAATAAAGGACAATAATAGTAATAATAGTAAAACAATAATGGCGGCGAATTAAGATATATAATAATATTATAACAGCAATAGTAATGACAGTGAAATAATAGTTGTGGTGAACCATTTGATCATGAATGGGATTTTGAATGGATAAATAATGATAATGTTTTAAATGATATAGAGGTTTCTAATACAGCTAGCTATTGAATCTATTTCATCTGATGTTTTGGATGATGCTAGTTTACATTCCCGTTTAAGTTCAATTTCAACTAATTCAAATGATAATACAATTATTCAGAAATGTAAAAAGTAATTTTGGTTGGACATGCAAATATTTTGAAAAATAACAATTATATTTTGTTTAGTTGTGGCATCAAATGGATATAATAAGAACAGACAAGAACAATGTGTAAATTTGTTGACAAAAAAGTATTACTCATTTGAAATTTTGCGTAAATATATTAATATAAACAAATAAATTAAAAAATTCCGTTTCTTTATTAAATCACCAAAAAATAAAAAAGTATCACGATTAATATATTATTATTATTATTCACTTTTAAATTAATGAATTCTTTTTAAAAATGACAGAAAATAATGGCCTTATGGAAATAGCGACAGCAGAGAATCCAGATAGAATTTCTATTAACAATCCAACTGCAAATGACGCCATAATCAATACACATAATGGATGTCCCATTGATGAAATGAAGTACAGTCCTGATTATAAGTTTTTAGTAACTTTAAGTAAACTTGATGAATCCATTGCTGGATGGACAATTGATCATGTCAAAGAGACTATTCAACAAGATAATCAAGATAATCATTTTGAATATTCTGACTGGAAAGTTCACAAGGATAATTTACATATAGAAGATGTTTCAGATAATAAATATATACTTATAGAACTTATAGGTTTTGAGTTTAAATTTTACAGTAAGTAAATATAAATGTATTATTATTTATAAGCAATAATGATAATAAATTCACATTAAAGTTAATTTTCTAGGGTTAATTGATTTTTCAAAAGGGAAATATTGTGATGTTACAATTAATGATAAAATGCATAAATTTATAAAAGGGGGTTTCATTACAAATAATGATTTAATAATGTTTGATTATAATTGTTATTTATACACTTTTTCATATATAAATGATGATAATAATGAAAATATTAAATTATCTCTCAAATCAACATATTACATTTACAATTATCATAATGAATACTATAGAGATTTTTTTTTTTTTGTAAATTCTGATTATATTATATTAAAGAGCCATTCATCATTATCAATATGGAATTCAACAACTATGTCACATAAGGATAATTGTTATTTAAAACATAAAAGAAATCATACTAACATAATATTTAATCATGACAAATCAATAATGGCATTGTATTATAAAGACAATTCAAAAATAACAGTTTATTCATTAAAAGATAGCATTACTATTTCTTCATGTAAGTATTGTAATAGAAATTTATCCTTCTTTTATTTGTTTATTTATCAACAACACATTAAATATACTCATTTTTTTTTATTTTACAGTTAAATTGGGAAAAAAGATATCTATTAAAAAATTAGATTTTATTTATATAAAAAGTCAATTGGTATATTTATTAGTGATATTCTATAATAGAAATAAATACAATTGTAAATTATTGGATCTCTATGATTCAATAAATATTATAGATATTACAGATTGTTTTAATGAGCAAATAATATATGAAGCTAAAAAAGATATTATATTTGGACCAATCATATCAAATAATAAAGTAGTTATGGCTATTGACAACCAAATTCACATTAAAAAAATTCTCAACAAAGAAAAATTAGACAATTTTCAACGAGTAAATATAAAAAAGAAGTATTATTTATACATAGGACAAACCTTAAATGAAATATATGAAAAAATGGATTATAATTATGAAATGCCACCAAAAGAATTTGATATTGAAACAGGAGAAACCATTAAATGGTCAGTCAAGTATGATAATGAGTTTAAAAATATTAATATAAAAGCTCGGAATAATGAAATGGAAGGAGGATTACTAACAATTGCTAGATATGATATCTATTATGCCGAAGAATTTAAATATTGTAAATTACTAAATAATGATGATTTAATTTTATTAACTGATTATTGTACGCATATTTTGTCATTTTGCAACAAAAAAATAGTTACAAAGCTTATTAAACCAATTGTTTCTCAGGAATTTGAAAATATTAAACTAGCTATAGAAAATAATTTTATTGAAGAGTATTTAATTGATTTTAATATGATTGATCATATAACCAGGCAACATCAAATTTTCAGAGAGTCTTATAAAGACGGCCTGATGAAAAGCACAGGGTACAGGGATCTGCAAAACTCGCCTGTCCCCTGTGCTTTTCAAGATTTCACCATCAAATCTAGAAAAGGACAGGCGAGTGGCACAGGCGATATGTGAAAAATCTTGAAAAGCACAGGGGACAGGCGTGGCGCAAACAAGGCACAGGTGACCTGTACCCTGTGCTTTTCAATATTCACCTATCAAATCTGGAAAAGGACAGGGGACAGGCAAATATGCCGATCCCTGTACCCGCCTGTCCTTTTGAGAAAAATTTAGAAAAATAGGAAGTAATTTGTACATAATAATAATAATTGCATAATAATAATTGCATAATAATAATCATTCGATGCAACAATTTTATTAATTTAGAAATTTGGATTCATTTTTTTCAAGAAAAAAACTGACGATTTTAAAAATGGATAACAGATGATTTAAAGAACTGACGATTTAAATGATTTTGTTAAAAAATGAATGGATGATTTAAAGAACTGGCGATTTAAATAATTGTGTTAAAAAAACTGATGATTTAAAGGACTGGTGATTTATATAAGTGTTAAAAAACTGATGATATAAATTGAATATGTAATATATTTTTAAAAAATGTTGGATGTTAATGTAAATAAAATCTTTATTTTTAAAGAAACAGCCTTTTCAAATCGAATGATTTGTTGACTTTGATAATTCATATAAATATACTCTGAATTTGATTACTTCAAAGAATTATTCTCAAATAAAACAAATATATAACAAGAAAAAATAAAAAAAGTTATCTACGAAAAAATAAATTAATCTACGAAAAAATAAAAAAAAATAGCTACGCGGAAATTTTTTTTTTGAATTCAAACCCAAACCTTATCTTTTATTATTATTATTATATTATTATTATTAAACAATACTACTCGGAAATTTCAATTTTTTAATTTAAAATGAACAAATTTGCTGCTTTCATCAAAAAATTTGAAGATTCTATCTGTGAAGAAGGTATGCATCATATACTGTATGTGTAATCTTTTGCTTATTTCAATTACTCAAAAACTTATACATTCAATTAAATAACTATAGATTCTGACACATCTTGCACTCACTGCAATTCAAATCAAGATAATGGTAATTTTCAAAATTTTCTTTCTAATTATATACAATTTGACTAAATCTTATTGTATTATATATTTTTTTTTTAGGCGAAAATTATCCACATTGGCCCTGTGGGAACACTATTTATAAATATAAAGAAAAACCAAGAGATTGGCTTCAGAGTGGTTGGGCTTTAGATAGTGTCGAATCAAAAAAACAGACCACATATAATGCTCAAATTAATGTTAAAAAATGTTTCGGTACAATTCAATGTGAACAATGTAATGCTCAAACTAGACCAAAAACCAAAAAACATGGGAAAAGAGCAGAAGAGCAACTTGATAAAGGTTGCCCAGTACCTACATGTGATGGTATATATATTAATTTATTAATTAAATATAGATTTTAAATATAACTTAAATAATAATGTATTTTGTATTTTTTGATTCATTTTTAGGTTCTTTACAATGGATTCAGTGTATTGTGAGTTGTAAATTCATCACATTAGAAGAACCTGATGAAAACGGCTTTACTTATTATTTATTACACTATGGACATCACACTCATCAAAAATGTTTGCAAAATAAGCCATTTAATCAAGAAAAAGATCAATTAAAAAAACGCGTTTCTGCAGCACCTGAAACCTTGCCCAAAAAAATGCAAGTGGGACAATCCTTGGATAATAACAACCCACTTGCTTCAGTTAGAAAAATATCTGAAGCATTTTCAAACACTGATAGAATTGCTTATTATCGTCGGCAAATAATCAATGAAGAAAACATCATCACCAAAACAGCTCGTCGACATGGAGACAATTTCATCTTGGACATTTTACAATTTCAACAAGACCACCCGAATTTTATTAGAAAGGCTGATTTTACCAACAAAGGTGTGATTATGTTACAATCAGATTGGATGCAACAACAAGGCTTTTCAAATAATAACTTTCCAGGCATTATTACAGATAGCACTTACAAATATTTTTCAAATGCTTTCTTGTTGTCCAGGTGTGTAATTGAAAGATTTTAATAAAACCGACTTTATTATTCATTACTCATTTATTTTAATTTGAACAATAGTTCTTTATATTGCCCTCTTCTGGAAAGATGGATACCAATTCTGATAACAGTAATTTTAAAGGAGGATAAAGTCCACTATAAAGAGCACTTTAAATATTTATTTCAGTGGATTGATGACCATTGTGAAAGTGAAACCAAAAATTGTGACGATTTTTATGCACAGGTTATAGATTTTAGCATGGCTGAAAAAAGAGGATTCATTGATGCATTCATTGAGCATAAATTGGAAAAAATCAAATTATCTTCATATTCTAAAGTTCTCTTAGATTCACATAAAACTATATTGGAAAAAGAAGCATTGGCCTTCTTAAAAGGATGTCAGGAGCATTACAAACAATCTATAACAAGAATTGCACAAAATAGTGCAATTGTAAAACATGAAGATTCAACAAAATTTCGATCAATGGCATTAAAGCTCTTAAAAATCAATTTTGAAGATTTTTTTGAACAAGTTGGAGAGATACAAGAAAATTGGCCAAATTCCACTACCTGGCTGGAATGGTGGGTATATACCGATGCAGGTAAAATCCTTTTCCCTGCATTAAGTACTATGGATGAAGGTTTATACAAAAAATTACCAGGTTCAACTAATGCCCAAGAATCAATGCATTCTCAATACTATATGTGTGGAGCTACAAATCAATCCATTATAACAGGTATTTAATAAACAACTTAATTAATTAATTGATATTCCAAATAAATATTAATCTTAAATTTATTTCAATTAGGTCTTGAAAATCTCCTGTTGTTTGTGATGTCCTTGGAGGTAGATTATGAGAATAAAAGTAAAGGCCATTCTTTGAAGTATGGTGAAGAAGAACGATGGAAAAAAGTTGCTGAATTATATGGCACCACCAAACCATCCAAGGGAAAAAGATCCAAAGGTGCTGGTGTAAATGATCGTAGACCACCAGATACTACTGAGGCTCTTTTGAAAAACCAGTCTTCTAAGAACATTGATAAAGATAATGGAGATTTAAGTGTTTCTGATAAAAAAGAACAGAAACAGAAAGCAAATGAACTTCCAAAAAAGTATCAATCCTATCCACATTGGAGAAGTTCATGTTATATTACCTCATTCTTAGAATTATTATATACAAATTATCTTCATACAACTATGTGGTGGACAACAAATGTTGGAGTAATTCCAAGTAACTCTGGACTAAAAAAATTATATACAAGTTTTACCATTCGAGACACTGTCAATACACCAGGAACTAAAAATGTAAAATCCACTTTTAATGAAGCTCGTGAAATTGTCCGTCGCCATGTTCTAGAAAAAAAATGGCAAGAAGATAACCAATTTGGATCATTAACTCATTGGTTTGAAAATATTATTTTAGAAGAAAAAGAATCAACAAAGCTTATGTCACAATTT